CGTAAGTTTAGTATTGAAGGATTTTTTTCCTTTTTTGTTAAAGGTTTTTGTTTTGTTTTGGTTTGCTTCTTCTTGTCCTTGTTTATATTTTTGACAGGCAGAGTGGACAGTGAGAGAGAGAGACAGAGAGAAAGGTCTTCCTTTGCCGTTGGTTCACCCTCCAATGGCCGCCGCGGCCGGCGCACTGCGGCCGGCGCACCGTGCTGATCCGATGGCAGGAGCCAGGAGCCAGGTGCTTTTCCTGGTCTCTCATGGGGTGCAGGGCCCAAGCACCTGGGCCATCCTCCACTGCACTCCCTGGCCACAGCAGAGGGCTGGCCTGGAAGAGGGGCAACCGGGACAGAATCCGGCGCCCCGACCGGGTCTAGAACCCGGTGTGCCGGCGCCGCTAGGCGGAGGATTAGCCTAGTGAGCCGCGGCGCCGGCCTGTTAAAGGTTTTTAAGCACAAGAGCAACTTCATGATAGATGACCTCTGGATAAGAAATATGGATTGGAGTAGGGAATAAGGAGACCAAATTGGAGCATCTTTGAGTTGTCTGGCCTAGAGATGGGTCTGAAATAGGGCAAGAAAAAGGAAGACAGGAAGGGTATAGCTCACTGTGACAACTTGTCCCTCGTCTGCCGTCCTTACACATACTCAAGGTCCATTTGTAAATCATTGAACCTAGTTAAGTCACATGGCTTTGGGAATAGGAAGTACAGACATAATATAGGAACACATTTTTTTTTTGTCAGTGTCTGTAGGAACATGATCAAATATATACTAAAGGATATTTTCCAGGGCTGAAGTTAGGTAATGCTTATGAGTCTAGCTTGTCACATTAAAAATCTTTTTGAAGATTTCTGAAATTATTAAGCAAAAGTATGAATTTAAGGAAGGAAGAAGATAGGTTTGTATCCCTAGCAGAATATAATTTCCTACATTATCTTCTTTTTAGCTTGGTTAAGCTAAAACAGCAGGGTACAGGAGAAGCTCCAGTATAGAACTTGGAAGGGAAGTTATAAGATGGTCAAAGCAGATTTGGTCTCAAGGATAAGGGTCTTTTTGTTTTCTTTTCAGCTACTGATGAAGATTGACCTACTCAGAAATTAGGGATTTACCTATAAAATTGGTCTAAATTAAATTTTCAAATATATATGGTTTGTTGTAAGCCTACAGATACATGGATAAGCTTTAGAGAGGAGTGATGGTTCAGGAGAAGAGCTCAAATGCCCTAAGGAAAGTCAAACAAGCAAGAGATCTCTGTCATCCATTCAATATAGGGATTTTGAAAATGAGCAGCTGCTGGCGCTGTGGCATAGCAGGTAAAGCTGCTGCCTGCAGAGCTGGCATCCCATATGGGTGCCAGTTCAAGACCCGGTCCACTTCTGATCCAGCTCTTTGCTATGGCCTGGGAAGGCAGTAGAAGATGGCCCAAATCCTTGGACCCCTGCATGCAGGTGGGAGACCTGAAAGAAGTTCCTGCTTCCGATAAGCTGCAGCCATTGTGGCCATTTTGGGAGTGAACCAGTGCATGGAAGACCTCTCTCTGCCTCTGCCTGTCTGTAACTCTGCCTTTCAAATAAATAAATCTTAGAAAAAGAACATGAGCCAATAGGCTAGAATCCTGGAGATTAAAAAGTAGATAATTTTCCTTGCATCCAGTGTGGTTGGGAAGGCAAGCATATAAAAAGATAATTACAGCATTATATGATGAGTGTTATTTAAAAAAAAAAAATGTGTACTGGCACAAAGTAGGCAACCAGCTGCCTAGAGAGACTTACGAGATTTTATAAAGAAGATGACATTTGAACTGGCTCTTAAATGCATATTTTACCAGGACAAAAGTAAAGATAAGACAGTTCTTGGCAAAAGAAATAGGATGTGTAAAGGCCAGGAAATAGGACTTAAGTGTTTTTACACCATATTTTTCAGGACAAGATTGAAAATGCAGTTTTAGAACATGTTTAGCTGCACTTGAAGGTGACAAGCACTTATACCTCCATTTGGAAAACAGAAGCTAAGGCTTGAAGATTTTAACTAGCTCACTGTCATGCAGTATGAGTCAGAGGCAAGAGCTCAGACCAGGCGCTCAAAAACAGGAATGCCTGGTCTCGTGCCCTGAGTAATTCTGTGTCATAGTAATAGATTGCTGTGGATTCATGAGTATTTGGGGTTATTTCACTTCCTTGAAACCAAATTACACATTCAAAATTGACACTGTCAATCCTATCAAATGTTTTTCTTTAAAAAAAAAAAAAGGAATCTGTCAATAAATATTTACTCCCACTATGTGAGAGCAGGAATGGATCATGAAGTCTTCAAGGCTGCCTGACTAGTCTAATTTGTGTTTTTTCTGAGATCATCCAGTACCTTTCCCATTTAACACAAAATAGCCAAGCAAGTTACTTTCTTTAGGAGACACATGTTTATCATTAGTAGTTATTTGGCAGCTAGGTGGGATAAATTTGCTCCCAACTCCTACATGATATGAATCATTTGCATTCACGCATTAATCCATTCTCACATTGTTCTTTCTGAGTTTTAATGCAGCTTGTATTATATAATATAGGGATACATAGTCATTTACATTTTCAATATCATTCTTTAATCAATTTGCAGAATCTGTGATAAACCAGAGGACTTGAATTGCTATTATGAATATCTAGTATACTTGCAAGTAAATAAGTAAATTGTAGAATAAATCCAAGAAAATGTTATTACCTATTTGAATAAATTGTTGGAAGTCTTGGGATATGGGAAGGTGTGGAATAGGAAACAATAAAGCAAAGATCACAACACCTAAGCCTGTAATCATTGATCTGTTTAAAATTGTGTTCTGAACTTTCACAACATTTTCATTTGTTTCTTTGAGTTACTTTTTAAAAGACTTTAAAAACTAGTGCCCACTTGTTAGGGTTATCTGAGCATTTTGTTGACATTGTAATTCATCAGAAAGGCTAACAGTTGTAAATAGATTAGATTATTTGTGGGATACTAATTCTTAGTAAATGAATTATAAGAAACATAGTGATGCTAGTGTTGATAAATTCTGAATTGCCTATATTTACATTAAAGAAGTATCAGAAGATAGGAAATATGACTTTATGTTGTATTAATTAATTAGTAAGATAGATGGGTAGTATTCTTGAATTCTGGAGCCTGTCAAGAAAGAAGACATAGAGTTGACTTTTTTTTTTTTTGGACTGGCAGAGTGGACAGTGAGAGAGACAGAGAGAAAGGTCTTCCTTTTGCCATTGGTTCACCCTCCAGTGGCCGCCGCGGCCGGCGCGCTGCAGCCGGCGCGCCCCGCTGATCCAAAACCAGGAGCCAGGTACTTATCCTGGTCTCCCATGGGGTGCAGGGCCCAAGGACTTGGGCCATCCTCCACTGCACTCCCTGGCCACAGCAGAGAGCTGGCCTGGAAGAGGGGCAACCGGGACAGAATCCGCGCCCCGACCGGGACTAGAACCCGGTGTGCCAGCGCTGCAAGGTGGATGATTACCCTAGTGAGCCGCGGCGCCGGCCTGAGTTGACTTTTTTTAAAGTATCAAAAACTGAGCTTTATTTTAGAAAAATAAGTTAATTTTCTTTCTTTTTTTTTTCTTTTTTTTTTTTTTTTTTGAAAGGCAGAGAGAAAAGGACAAACAGAGGGACAGACAGAGAGGGAGAGGTTTTTCCTTTAACAACCAGGGCTGGGCCAGGGTGAAGCCGGGAGCCTGGAACTCAATCTAGATCTCTCACATGGGTAGAAGGCACCCAAGTACTTGAGCCATCATCTGCTGCCTCCCAGAGTATGCACCAGCCAGAAGCTGGATTGGAAGCAGAGGAGCCTGGACATGAACCAGGTGCTCTCACTGTGGGCATCTGAAACGCAGTCCAACCACTGTGCCAAATACCACCCCAACATGTGCTTTCAGTGGAAGTGTGTCTAGGGCTGTTGTCTCTCAGGCTGTGGTCAGACCAGCTTCACTGGAATTTAAAAGTTAAAAAACAGGAATAAGCCTAGCAGTTAGGAGATCTGTGTACCATATTACAGTGCCTGGGTTTGATTCCCAGCTCCTGCTCCTAATTCCAGATTCTCACCAATGCAGATCCTTGGAGGCAATGGATTCCTCTAGTAATTGGGTTCCTGCCACCCACTTGGGAAACCAGAATTCCCAGTTCCCAGCCTTGGCCTTTGCAGGCACTTGGGGGAGTGAATCAGGGAGTGCTCCCTCTCTTTCTCTTGGCACTCTCTCAAAAACAAATGTTTTTAATTAAAAAGTATACTTTAGTTTTTGCTATAGCTCTGTATTTAAAGTTATGCCCTTTTTTGAAAAAAAAAAGATTTTTGTATTCATTTGAAAGGCAGAGAGAGAGATCTTCCATCTGCTGGTTCACTTCCCAAATGTCCACATTTTGTCAGATCTAGGCTGGGCCAAAGCCAGGGAGCCAGGAACTCCATCTGGGTCTTCCACATGGGTGGCAGGAACCCAAGAATTTGGGCCATTATTTACTACCTTCCTAGACACACTATTAGCAAGCTGGTTAGAAAGTTCAGTGTAGCCAGGACTCAAACCAGGCTCTTTGATATGGAATATGGACATCCCAAGCAGTGACTTAACCCAGTGCCACAACATCCACCCTTAACGTTATATCCTTTCATGCAAAAATTTCTAATCTCTTTTAATGCAGCAAACCATCAAAAAGAATAGTTTTGTACCCTGTTATTTATGAAACTGATGTAGCAAACTACTCCCAAAGCAGCTTAGACTATTATTTAATAAATGCTAGAAATTCAGGCTAAATGTATTTTTTGCCACTTTTTCAACAAGTAAATGATTGTATTTTTTGGTATATCAGGAAGGAATGTACTTTTCACATAGGATATGTTTTACAGTGGTCAGGCATGTGCATGTATGGGTTTTCTCTGCATATTTAGTGGTGGGGAGATGCCAATACACTTAATCCTAATGATGAATGTTTTGGTTAGATGACTGTTACCTTACTGGTATCTCTTCCTGTTTCCTTACCCAGTTATGCTGTTATTGCCTATGGCTGTGCCAGCTGCCCAAAGCTAACTTGTGAGAGGGAAGGCTGCCAGACTGAGTTCTGCTACCACTGCAAGCAGATATGGCATCCAAATCAGACATGCGATATGGCCCGTCAGCAGAGGGCGCAGAATTTAAGAGTTCGGACCAAGCACACTTCGGGTCTCAGTTATGGGCAAGAATCTGGACCAGGTATAAATTAGTGTTATCTCATTTTCATTATTTGATATTTCACGTGAACCCAAAGCTGGAAGAGATCATCTTACTATATAACCTAAGTATTCTCTGGAATCAGAACAGAAAATGCCATTTGGTTATACTTCTAGTATTTAATATATAGCTTCCTTCTCTAACCATAATGGGTTACTCAACTCACATAAAACTGGAACACAGAAGAACCAACAAAATCTCTAGGTTCTACCTTCTTATTAATATGAGGGTACTTCAAAAGTTTGTGGAAAAATAGAATTATAAGCATATTTTGATATAAACACTTTTGAAATCCATGCATGTTGTTTTCATAATCATATTTTCCATTAACTTTAAAAAATATTTATTTGGAAGGTAGAGTGATACAGAGAAGGAGATCTTCCATCTACTGATTCACCCCCCAAATGCCCACAGTCAGAGCTGGGCCAGGCTGAAACCAGGAACCAAGTACTTGGACCATCTTCTGCCTCCCAAGCACATTAGCAAGAAGCTGGATTGGAAGTGTGGGGTAGTCAGGCTTTAGACTAGCCTCTCTAATGGGAATGTGGGCATCCCAAGTGGCAGCTTAACCCTCTGCATCACAACACCTGCCCCCATGAACTTTTGAAGACTTTTTATATAAAAGTAAATTTAAAAAATTTTTTGTACCAGAATTTATCTTTTAATTCTGTTTTCCATGAACTTTTTGAAATACCCTCATGTATCTTAAGTTGGAGAACAATTAGATCCTTTTGTCTGGAGACTTTTCCAAAGCTTTCATTGTGATTTAAAAACATTTAATTAGTGTTAAACCTATATTGTTTACCTCCGTGCTTTAAGTGCATCACTGCTTTTGGAGGTAGGTACATATTAAGAAAAGAAAAAAAATTTTTTGACAGAGTTAGAGAGACAAAGAGAAAGGTCTTCCTTCCATTGGTTCACCCCCCAAATGGCCACCATGGCCAGAGCTACACAGATCCGAAGCCAGGAGCCAGGTGCTTCCTCCTTGTCTCCCATGCGGGTGCAGGGCCCAAGCACTTGGGCCATCCTCCATTGCCCTGCCAGGCCACAGCAGAGAGCTGGACTGGAAGAGGAGCAACCGGGACCAGAACCCAGCGCCCATATGGGATGCCAGCACTGCAGGCTGAGGACTAACCAAGTGAGCCACAGCACGGCCCCAAGAAAAGAAAAATATTTTTTTAAAGATTTACTTATTTATTTGAAAGTCACAGTTATACAGAGAAGGAGAGGCAGAGAAAGAGAGAGGTCTTCCATCCGCTGGTTCACTCCCCAGTTGTCTGCAACGGCTGGAGCTGCGCCAGTCGGAAGCCAGGAGCCAGGAGCTTCCAGGTCTCCCATGTAGGTTCTGGGGCCCGAGGACTTGGGCCATCTTCCACTGCTTTTTCAGGCCATAGCAGAGAGCTGGATCGGAAGTGGAGCAGCCGGGACTAGAACCAGCTCCCATATGGGATGCTGGCACTGCAGGCTGCGGCTTTACCCACTACACCACAGTGCTGGCTCCAAGAAAATAAAAATATTAATATGGATTAATGATTAACTTTAAAAGGAGAAATGTTACACATTCTGTTCCAACCTTGACAAGTCAGAGTAAACCTATTTTAAAATGTTAGTGGGTTTACTACTTTTTATAAATGTACTTTATTTCACCGATGTCATTTGGGAGAGGCTAGTAGGAAAGATTCTGAAATTACTTTTTCCTGGCACAGCATAACCTCCTAAATTTTCATTTTAGTAGGATAGTTCCTAACTTGCTGTGAAAATTAACAGGTGCACATGACATAGCATACCCAGTTGTTTTTACATTTCTTTTTAAGATTTATTTATTTATTTGAAAGCTAGAGTTACAGAGAGGCAGAGGCAGAGAGAGATCTTCCATCCACTGATTCACTCCCCAAATGGCCATAATGGCTGGAGCTGGGCCAGGAGCTTCTTCTGGGTCTCCTACTCAGACCATCTTCTGCTTCTCCCCCAGGCCATAGCAGAGAGCTGGATCGGAAATGGAGCAGCCAGGACTTTAACTGGTGTCCATATGGAATGCTGGCACTGCAGCAATGACTTTACCTGCTATACCACAGTGCTGCCCCTGTTTTTACATTTTCTTTTTTTAAATTATTTTTTAAAAATTTCCAAAGATTTTTTAAAATTTATTTATTTGAAAGTTACACAGAGAGGCAGAGAGGGAGGGGGGAGGGGGGGTCTTCCATCCACTGGAAGACCATTCACTCCCCATTTGGCCACAACAGCTGAAGCTGTGCCAATCCGAAGCCAAGAGCTTTTTCTGGGTCTCCCACATGGGTGCAGGGGCCCAAGGACTTGGGCCATTTTCCACTGGTTTCCTAGGCGATAGCAGAGAGCTGGATTGGAAGTAGAGCAGGCGGGACTCAAACCAGCACCCAAATTTGATGCCAGCACTGTAGGCAGCGGCTTTACCTGCTACGCCACAGCGCCGACCCCTACATTTTCATTTTAAAAGTATCAGTGGAAGAGACTGAATTGTGTTAACAAGTCACATAATATTTGTTGACTCTGAACAATTAATGCTTAACTAATTAATGCTTAACTAATGCTTTTCTTTACTGGAAGTCGATTCTAGGCTTCAGATTATTCTTCTGTAGGACTCTGCTTTTAAATATATCAGCTGGTGGAAATTCCATTTTTCTTGGAACCATCTTTCTCTCTAGGGAATGCTTCTTCCTCAGAGTATGGATCAAGTGCTGTATAAGATGCAGGTTACTAGGATAGGCAGCTCAGTACGAGACAGGATCTGTTTTATGAGAATTCCTGAGGTCTAGACATAGCCAACCTTCCAGTTAAGTGGTTGCACAATTTGGAATCCTCTGTTATAAGTTCTTGACTACCTACTCATTTCTTATATGTTCTCTTAAATTAGGTAAAACTGGGTTTAACAGGGGTATTTTTCTACCCATCCTTCCTTCCCTCCTTAGCAGATGACATCAAGCCATGCCCACGATGCAGTGCTTACATTATCAAGATGAATGATGGAAGCTGTAATCACATGACCTGTGCAGTATGTGGCTGTGAATTCTGCTGGCTTTGTATGAAAGAGATCTCTGACTTGCATTACCTCAGGTAAGATGGGAAATGTGTCCATTCCTTATACTGAATTAGGCGAAATGATGTCAAAGAGATACAGTTGTCCTCTTATTGTAGAATATAGAAGCTAAAAGTTCTTTTAAAGCGCATCTCTGGCCGGCGCTGCGGCTCACTAGGCTAATCATTCGCCTTGCGGCTCCGGCACACCAGGTTCTAGTCCCGGTCGGGGCACCAGATTCTGTCCCGGTTGCCCCTCTTCCAGGCCAGCTTTCTGCTATGGCCCGGGAGTGCAGTGGAGGATGGCGTAAGTCCTTGGGCCCTGCACCCCATGGGAGACCAGGAGAAGCACCTGGCTCCTGCCATCGGATCAGCACGGTGCGCCAGCCACAGCGCAGCCGCGGCAGCCATTGGAGAGTAAACCAACGGCAAAGGAAGACCTTTCTCTCTGTCTCTCTCTCTGTCTCTCTCTCTCACTGTCCACTCTGTCTGTCAAAAAAAAAAAAAATTTTTTTAAAAAAAGGGCAGAAAAAAAAAAAGCACATCTCTGATTATGTTTTTCTCCAGCTCAGAAACTGTCAGGGACTGAGCCCATTAATTTTTAGATCATATCTTATTCCCCCCAGCCTAGTTTTTAAAGCTTTGGGTCTAATCTGCTTTTCTAGCTTTTTCCATTTTGTTTTCATTTACTTTTATACTATATTCCAGATCACCTGGGCTTGCTGTTTCTTGTGGGTTTTTTATTTTTATTTATTTATTTTTGTTTCCATTATCTTGCCACCATACTTGTTTGTATTTTTTTCTTAGCCTGGAATGCTTTCTAATCATTGCCACCTCTCACTGTCCCCCTTTTATCTCAGTTTGGTCAGTCTTACCCACTTAAATACTTTCATATCTTTCCTAACTTTTCCTGCCTCATTCTTTATTGACATTCCTTTATCTTTCATTACAAATATCACTGCTTTCTATTTCATGCATCTATCTAATCTACAGTATAATTTTTTATTTATTTATTTACTTACTTATTTGAAAGAGTTTCAGAAAGAGATGGAGAATCAGAAAGAGAGAGATCTTCCATCCACTGGTTCACTCCCCAGATGGTCATAATGGCCAGGCCAAAGCCAGGAGCTTCTTCCAGGTCTCCCACATGGATAACAAGGTTCCAAGCACTTGGGCCATCTTCTTCTGCTTTTCTCAGGCCATTAACAGGGAGTTGGATCTAAAGTGGAGCAGCCAGGACTCAAATTGGCACCCATATGGGTTGCTGGCATTGCAGGCAATGGCTTTACCCATTATGCCACAACATTGGTCCCTATAAATTTCTTAAAAGCAAAGTTATGACCTTTTCAGAGTTTACATGTAGTGAGTTTCTAAGAAATTCATTGAATGAATATTAAAATATTGTCCTAGAAGAGTTAATATTTGTAAGCTTGTATTTATTGTATAGAAGAAATATCTTCATTTTTCAGTTTGAGTACTTAACTGTTTATCGGTCAGTGGGGATAAAGAGATGAATAAAGATATGATTCCTCCTTTCCTCTCTGTCTCTCTCTCTCACTGTCCACTCTGCCTGTCAAAAAAGAAAAGGCTGGCGCCGCGGCTCAATAGGCTAATCCTCCACCTAGCGGTGCCGGCACACCGGGTTGTAATCCCAGTTGGGACGCCGGATTCTTTCCCGGTTGCCCCTCTTCCAGGCCAGCTCTCTGCTGTGGCCCGGGAAGGCAGTGGAGGATGGCCCAAGTGCTTGGGCCCTGCACCCCATGGGAGACCAGGAGAAGCACCTGGCTCCTGCCTTCGGATCAGCACGGTACGCCAGCCGCAGCGGCCATTGGAGGGTGAACCAATGGCAAAAGGAAGACCTTTCCTCTCTGTCTCTCTCACTGTCCACTCTGCCTGTCAAATAAATAAATAAATAAATAAAAAGATATGATTCCTGCTTTTGAAATACCTATTCCATCAGATAGGAAAGAATACAAAAGGGAATAAGCAAAAATGGTTGGGCAAAGAAAGCCTGAGTATGAAAGTAGCCAAATTGAGTTTCAAACTGACAGAAGGTGTGGTAAGATTTTTTATATCCTTTCCCAGAAGCATGGTTTGTAGTATCTTTAGGGTGTGGTAGGGCATAATGCCAAAAACTACACCAATCAAAACGTTCATTAGCTGCATGACGTGTGTTTAAATGAGGTGTCAAGTACACAGGCTATGCAAGATCCCAGGTGGTGTCAGTTAAAGAAGCTGGTTCTGGGCCAGCATTTGACCTAGCAGATAGGATACCCACATCCCGTACCAAAGTACCTGGCTTCAAGTCCCAGCTCCAGCTCTCGATTCTAGACCTGAATTGAGTTCCCAGCTTGGCTCCCAGTTTCACTCTGGCCTAATCCTGGCTGTTGTGGGTGTTTGGGAAATGAACCAGTGGGTGGGAGCTTTCTTTGTTAGTCTTTCTCTCTCTCTATCTCTGTCTCTCTCCCTTCCCCTTTCCATGTCGTTCAAGTAATAATAATAACTTAAAAAAGAAGCTAGGTCAGTATTGGTGGATTAGAGAAGACAGAGTTCAGCAGAGAAGAATAAATAGGGTTTCAATTCTAGGGGCCTGTGTTTATTAAAAAAAAAAAAAAAAAAAAAAAAATGGAGACCAGAGCTTTAATAGTCTGGGCTTGTCCTTTGCTCTCCCTTGTCTACATTTCCTGTGACTAACTCACACCTATTAGAAAGAAGGCTGTTGCTCTTATCAACTCCTCTGATTACAATAGTTGCATTTTAAATATTGACATTAATTTTAGCATGTTTCCTTTGCAGCCCCTCTGGCTGTACATTCTGGGGCAAGAAGCCATGGAGCCGTAAGAAGAAAATTCTTTGGCAGCTGGGCACATTGATTGGTGCTCCTGTGGGAATTTCTCTCATCGCTGGCATTGCCATTCCTGCCATGGTCATTGGCATTCCTGTTTATGTTGGAAGGAAGGTAAGACCTGCTGGGTTCTGTGCCTGTTCCAACTTCAGGTTTCTTGGTAAAAGTCTGAGGAAATGAGAAGCAGCTTTTATTTCAGAGCAACCTGAAATCAGCTGATTCTTAGATAAAAATAACCTTAATTTCTTAAGTGGATTTCATAAATCCCCATGACATCTGAAAGTTCTTATTAACATCCTGGACCTGGCTTGTCTCAGTGACTCCAAGGTGAATGCTTTTTTCATTTCCCTGAGTTACTTTGTCTTTTCTTAACTTTTTCTGTATTAATTTATATTTTCTACGTCTGAATTAGGTTCATATTTGGGAAAGATTCTTTCAGGAGTGAAGGATATGTTTTATATTCATTACTTATAAATTAATATTCACTTGACCTTTTTTTTTTTTTTTTCCTTAGCAAAAGACTAATGTCTTATACTGCTGACCTGGATTTTCTTTTTTTTATTCTTAGATTCACAGCAGGTATGAAGGAAGGAAAACCTCCAAACACAAGAGAAATTTGGCTATTACTGGAGGAGTGACGCTGTCAGTCATTGCGTCCCCAGTGATTGCTGCAGTCAGTGTTGGTAAGCCAGGCGGGACCACACTTCCTCTCCCAGCTTTCTGACTTTATTGATTTAGCCCAGACGTTTCACCCTGGAGACATCTACGCTTTGTGCCAAACCCACTCACAGGATAGTGAATACTATTAGCACCATTACTGCGGGTATTTTTTCAGGTTTTTAGCCACACTAAATTGTCAGAGAGTAGGATGTTTTATTCTAAAGTTAGTCTGGCACATAGAAAAAGTCAAATTAAAGGAAAGTAGTTAAAGTCCTAGTTTCTCCCCTTTCATCTTCTTCCTCTTCCCTTTGCTATGGGACCCAAAAAGTTACTCTTATTTTTGTTTAAGTCCTCATGATATTTTGGGAGGTATAAAGGTTTGTTTTAGAAAAATAGTAATATAGCTATCAGGTCATGAGGTTGCCAGTGTGTCAGAAGCACTTCTGAGTCCTGCATATATTAATTAATTCAGTCCTCACAAAAACATCAGCATAATTATAACAGAAAGGTGCAGTAATTTCCCCAAGGTCACTTAGCTGGGTCATGAGTCAAAGCGCTTAGACTTCAGATCTTGTTCTCTTAGAACAGCTAAACCATTCTTCCTCACATAGCAATAAGATTTTGGAATTAACACTTGGGGTGGATGGGGGATCCTAAAACCCTAGCAATTATTTAATGTTTGATTCTTGATTGGTTCTTGGGTTATCACCTTAACAGGGAGTAGAAGGGAAGAAATGAAAGCAACATCTATTTACTGTGTTTGGCATTACACACACCTTCTCATTTGATCATTTACTACCCTGGGAAGATAGGTGTAAGGTCATCATACAGCTAGTAAATTGTAGCCAAGGTTCTAATCCAGGCCTTTCTGATTGCAGTTCTAGTCATTATTCTGTTAAACAAAGCAGCCTCTGTGGGAAAGTCATCTTCTGTCTTTTTGACTTAAAAAAGTGGTTTGTCCATGCCTGCGTGGGCAGGTGTATTTGGGACCATTGCAACTTGATGACCTGCTGATGTCTCCTCCTCTTCCCCCAGGTATTGGCGTCCCCATTATGCTGGCATATGTGTATGGGGTTGTGCCTATTTCTCTCTGTCGTGGAGGTGGCTGTGGAGTCAGCACGGCCAACGGGAAGGGAGTGAAAATTGAGTTTGATGAAGATGATGGTCCAATCACAGGTAAAAGAAATATTTTTAAGATATATTTATTTATTTGAAAGAATTAAGAGAGATATGGGGGGAGAGAGAGAGAATCTTCCATCTGCTGGTTCACTCCCATGATGGTCGCAATGGCCAGCGCTAGGCCAGGCCGAAACCAAAAGCTTCTCCAGGTTTCCCATGTAGATAGCAAAGACTCAAATACCTGGGCCATTCTCAGCTGCTTTTCCCAGGCCATTAGCAGGAAGGTGGATCGGAAGTAGAATAGCAAGGACACGAACCAGCACCCATATGGGATGCTAGTGTCAGACAGTGGCTTTACCTGCCACACCACAACACCAGCCTCAAAAGATTTTTGTTTCCACTTGAATTTATGGGACACAAGATTTAAAAATCAGTAAAATTCAGCACATTTGACAGAGATTATCATTGAGTTACTTTGTAGGGGATAAAGTATTTTTAGCTTTTCATTTTGTTCTAGAGTTATTAGGTTAATTCCTCTGGTACTTGCATCTGTGTGGCATGTACAAACTAGTAGAACTTCAAGTATGCTGGTGGTAGTGGTGAATACAATCGAGTCTTGCCTTTGCTCAGTACTTTATAATTTTCAGAGGACTCTACACAGTTATTATCTCACTTTTTTCAACAGCTCTCTGAAGAAGGGCAGGGGCTATTATTATCCCTTTTTAAATAGGTACTTCTGTACTTCTGTCTACTCTTTAAGAGCTTCTGCAGAGCTGAGACTCTAGGGCAAGTCTTCTGACTTCTACTTTAATGTCCTTTCTACTTTACTGCATTAACTAACCTGAGGCATAGAGATCCCCAAAGGTTTCTCAGTCTTCCTGCTAACATCAGCATATGACCTAAACATATTTTGAAATATTCATTTTGATTAAATGGAAGCTACAATGTAGTAGAAAGAATAGTGGACCTAGAATCAGAATTGTAGTTTTATGTGACTGTGACCTTGGACAAGTCAGTTCTAGTTTCTTCATCTAAAATAACAGCAATTAATGCCTAGTTATTGAGAGGATTAAATGTGAACATAAGCTAAAACACCTGACATGTGGTGACTATGCATAGTAGCTGTTCATTAAGTGAATACTTCAGGACTTTTTTACATGAACTGCTCCGTGGTGAAGCCATTGCCCACCACACAATTTTGATGCTGTGCAGTCTTGATTGTTTTGTTCTATCCCCAGTGGCAGATGCCTGGCGAGCCCTCAAGAATCCCAGCATTGGGGAAAGCAGCATTGAAGGCCTCACCAGTGTGCTGAGCACCAGTGGAAGCCCTACAGATGGACTCAGTGTTATGCAAGGCCCTTACAGTGAAACAGCCAGCTTTGCAGCCCTCTCAGGGGGCACATTGAGTGGCGGCATTCTCTCCAGTGGCAAAGGAAAATACAGCAGGTAAGCAAATAGATAATTTCTGTTACCTATTTTCAATTATAAGAAATAATACATTAAGCCATTTCTATATTCCAGGCTTGTCCCATATATCATCTCATTTTGATTTAACTGTCAATGTTTCTTTTTTTTTTTTAAGATTTATTTATTTATTCAAGAGAGAAGAGAAAGAAATCTTCCATCTGTTAGTTCACTCCCCAAATGCCTACAATAGTCATGGCTATTATAGTGGATGGCAGGGACCCCACTATTTAAGCCATTGCTGTTGCTTCCCAGGGTATACATTAGCAGGAAGCTGGAATTGGGTGTGGAGCCAGGACTTGAACACAAGCACTTTGATATGGAGTCAGACATCCCAAGTGGCATCTTTTTTTAAAGATTTAGTGGGGATGGCGCTGTGGTGTAGTGGGTAAAGTCCCTGCCTGCAGTGCCAGCATCCCATATGGGTGCTGATTCAAGTCCCGGCTGCTCCACTTCCAGTGCAGCTCTCTGCTGTGGCCTGGGAAGGCAATAGAAGATGCTGCGTGGGAGACCTGGAGGAAGCTCCTGGCATCTGGCTTCAGTTTGACCCAGCTCTAGCCATTGTAGTCATTTGGGGAGTGAAGCAGCAGACGGAAGACCCCTCTCTCTCTGCCTCTGCCTTTCAAATAAATAAATAAATCTTTTTTAAATATTTTATTTATTTATTTGAAAGGCAGAGTTAGAGGGACACAGAGAGAGAGAGAGATCTTCCATCTGCTAGTTCACTCCCCCAAATGGCCAGAAGAGCTGGAGCTGTGCCGATCTGAAGCCCAGAACTTCTTCCAGGTCTCCCATGTGGGTGACCGGGGCCCAAGGACTTAGGCCATCTTCCATTGCTTTCCCAAGTGCATTAGCAGGAAGCTGATCAGAAATGGAGCAGTCGGAACTCAAACTGGCACCCATATGGGATGCCATTGTTGCAGGCAATGGCTTTACCCACTATGCCAAGTGGCATCTTAACTACTGTGCCAAACACCCACTCCTAAAGAATAATCTTGACTTTAGATCCTCCCTATATGCCTCAGGTAGGAAGAGCAAACATTTTTTCTTTTCTTCTTTTTTTTTAATATTTATTTGAGAGGCAGAGTTACAGAGGGAAAGAGGGAGAGGTCTCCCATCCGCTGACTCATTTCTGAAATGGCCATAATAGCCAGAGCTGGGCCAGTCCAAAGCCAAGAGCCAGGAGCTTCTTCCAGGTCTCCTACGTGGGTACAGGGGCCCATGCACTTGGGCCATCTTCCACTGCTTTCCCAGGCCATTAGCAGGGAGTCGATGAGAAGTGGAGCAGCTGGGACTCGAACCAGCACCCATATGGGATGCTAGCACTGCAGGTGGAGGCTTAACCTACTATGCACAGCACTGGCCCCCAGCCATTTTTGTAGCATTCCTAAGACTGGACCTTCCATTAGCCTTGTCCTTGGCTTTCAGTTGACCATTTATGCTGTATCTTGTTGGCTTATATACTGTGATCCTGATTACCTTCCTAGTCCCATTTGATAGATAAGGAAAATAAATTCTGTGAAAACTGAGAAAATGAATTCTGAATTCATATTGAGAATATGTAAAACTTGATGACTAAAAAGATTGTGACTTGCTTCGTGGTCATATTCAGAGGAGCATAACAGATGTTATGAGAAGGATTTAGTTGACTTCACTGGAGAAGAGGAGCCTGGTTAGGAATAAAGGTAGGGCAAAGCAGGATGGGGAGATAGGGGAAATGGCTGCCTTCAGCTATCTGAAGGGGCTTCACCTGGGAAAAAGATAGGACTGCCTTGAATCCTGCCAACAGGTAGGTTAAAATGACTTGGCAGAAACTAGAGGGAAACTAATTTTGATTCAGTATAGAGAAAATAGGAAAAAGCCATGTAGAAGCTCAAAGAAGCAAAGAAATACCTTGGTACATACTGAGCTGCTTATCCCTGGAAGTGTTTAAAGTAAGACCAGATGGCCATTTGGCTATTAAAAGGATTCAAGTAACAGATGGCAGGTGGACTGGATCCCACACCTGAGTGCTTGTCACCTGGGAGTGTCTTAAAAATAGATTTTAGGGCCCTGTCCCAGAATTAATCATTTAAATCTCCTGGAGTGGAACCTAGGAAGTGGTTTTGTTTTGAAAAAGCTCCTGAGTTGATTCTAGCATAGCCAGTATGTGAATGAACATCTGCAAACCACCTAGGTAGGTGGCCCTGAGCAAGACTCTTCCAATCCTGTGGCAGAGCTGAAACTGGAACCCACATCTGTGACTTGGTGTACTCTTCCATTGTATTCCCTCATTTTCCTGGGCCTTGGCGAATTCTTGAAGGGCGTCTGAGGCTGGAACAGCAGAGCAGAGGTGCAGGCAAAGGGTGGAGGCTGCTTGAATGTGCAGGTGGCAGGATGGAGGTTGACCTGTCTGTGTCTCATGCTTCTGCTGTCTCTTGTTAGGGAATCCCACCCCCACACGCTGGAGTAATCACCGCTGTGCTTCCTTAGAGCAACACCCCTGTAAATAAGCAGACAGACATAATTGGAGACTGACTTGCTGAAACTGCAGCTTAGTCAGTCCAGCTGTTCCAGTTCTGTGAAAGCCTTTCTTTTATAGGAAGTGAATGAGTCAGATGGGTTTGACTGTGAAACCCATTATGAGGAAATACTTAAGTGTGCAACAAAGTGGTGTCGGAGCCAAGAAAGGAAATAGTTACGGGTTCTCAGCTCTGAAGCACAATTGAGAAAGTGCTGCTGTACAAGGAGGGAGGAGGTTGGCTCCTGTATGTCCTTTCATGCTATGACCTGGAAGTAATTTGATTGCTAAATGTCCAAGTTCCTATTATGCACAAGGCGTGGAATATAAAATGTGAATGAGATGTGATCTCTCCTTTTGTGGCACCAACAGATTAGTGGGAGAGAGATGCATAAATTGATATGATATAGATAGGTATAGGCTGGAGGTGACTGGTTTGCTGAGAGAATGAGGGAGAAAATACTTCCTTTGTTGTCAAGGACTAATAGGTGTAAGTTTTTAGTTACAGAAAGGAAACTTCCATAGAGTGGGGGAATAGCATATACAAAGTCATAGAGGCATAATATGTAAATTGGAGTGACTGTGGTTCTGGACCTGTGGTGAGAGATGGAACTGGAGAGAGAGCTTCATGGCAGATCAGGAAGACCTTATGTGCTCCTTGACAATAAGAGCCAAGAGTTAAAAGGATTGTTAGTGAGTGAGTCTTTGTCCACTCTGGCACTGGTCTGGAGGTCATTTGACCTGGACTTCAAGGGAGTCCAATTGCATTTGAGGTCTTGAAGTTAAGGAGTAGCACTGGGGGTAGAAAGGAGGGGACGATTTCAGTAGATGATTTCAGAAAGAAAATGTGTGGGAATGCATTTGAACTGTTTGACAATTGGAGAAAATGAGACAGATCATCACAGTTTGCAAGAGACTAATGAAAGAGATGTGTGCCAGGAAGCAGACTGTCTCAGAATACCCAGGTCTCCTATTAACTCAAACGTCCCCTCTTTACACAGGTTAGAAGTCCAAGCCGATGTCCAAAAGGAGATTTTTCCCAAAGACACAGCCAGTCTTGGTGCAATTAGTGACAACGCAAGCACTCGTGCTATGGCCGGTTCCATAATCAGTTCCTACAACCCACAGGACAGGTATGTGCACAGTCAGATGCCCAGGAGAGGTTGCAATTTTTGTTCAGGTACTAGGTCCTCAGAAACTCAATGCCTTATGTCAGGGCTGTGTGTACCATCTAGTGGGGTATGTAGTGTGCCCTGAGAACCCACTGAACACATTCTTAGCATTAGAGTGTTTTTTGGCATCTCTTGATTCTTGTTGTTAGCACTTGATTTTTAGCAATTTCTTTTTCCTTTCTCTTCCTCCCTTCCCCCCCTCACTCTGGTCCTGGCTGTTGCAACAGTGTGTAATTACACGGCACTTAGAAAGCTGGACTATTTATTGTTCATTGATGTCTGAGAGTCTAGGGGTTCTGTTCACCATTTGCTTTGTACGGTTTTCATAGCCTGTTTCTCTTTTATTTGAGAAGCTAGCGAGTGTATCTGGCATGGAGTAACTGTGATAATACTTAATGTATGGATTCTGGTTTTTAATTATGGCATAGTAGTAAAAAGCTACAGATTTTCTTATTTTGAGTAAGACAATATGAGGCTCTGACCCTCCGTTGGATTTTGGAAGCACTTTTCAGATGTTTAAGGAGACTGGCTGAGTGCACATGCGTCCGTGTGTGTGTGTGTGTGTGTGTGTATAATTAGCAGAATTAATTACTAATTGCTCTTCTCCATCTTATCTGACCATTAGGTTAAAATTTTGTTTTTGCTAAAAGTGAGCCTTAGTCCAGTTTACCTATTTTTTTGAACTTCCTAATCCTGGACCCACAAACTGCTTTTATCAACAGGTACAGCATGACCCATGCATGACTCAGCAAAGTGGATTTTGTCTCCACAGAGAATGCAACAACATGGAAATCCAAGTGGACATTGAAGCCAAACCAAGCCACTATCAGCTGGTGAGTGGAAGCAGCACAGAGGACTCACTTCACGTTCATGCTCAAATGGCAGAGAATGAAGAAGGTGGCGGTGGTGGCGGCGGTGAAGAGGACGCCCCCTGCAAACACCAAAACTGTGAACAGAAAGACTGCCTGGCCGGCAGACCTCGAGACATCAGCCTGGCCCAGCCCGAGAGCATCCGCAGTGACCTGGAGAGCTCAGATGCACAGTCCGATGATGTGCCAGACATCACCTCAGATGAGTGTGGCTCTCCCCGCTCCCAGGCCGCAGCCTGCCCCTCGACCCCCAGAACCCAAGGTGCACCAAGCCCAAGTGCCCATAGGAACCTCTCTGCCCCAGCTGAGGGACAGACTGTCTTGAAGCCAGAAGGTGCAGAAGCTAGAGTATGAAATGGAATGACTACTCCTGTTCTGAGAAGCACATTTGTTGTAACTGCATCTTTTGGAATCTTTTTTTGGAGGGGTGGTGGGTTGGGGATTTATGTATTTTATTTGAGATTCTCTGGTCACAGGTTTACCCCAGGGACATTCTGAGAAATTTGCAATTTCTTAACAGATAAAACATGAAAATTTTACCCTTAGCCCCCCTCCTCTTCCCCCTCCTTTTTCAGTTTTAATTTATTGGTTAAACTGATGTTGGCAATCCATGAGGTGTGTCAGAATGTACATATGTATGTGTGTATATTGTATGTATGCTAACATTACTGAAGGATACATTTTAATAAAGATTTCTGTCATAATTCAACTCATCTCATTTTCCTTGGCTTGGATAGTCCTACAGAGAGCCAAGTGTTCGAAACAGAATGCCACATCTTTGACAGTCTCTAGATCTGAGTTTTCCTAACCCCAGGAAAGAAAGATTATATTCAAATCCAATTGCAGTGGAGTCATGTATAAACCAGTGACTTCCAGCCTGACAGGAAGCAAAGCTCTGTTTGTTTTGGACTATAGAGTCAGCCTGAAGACTTCGTAGCTGAGTCAGCAGGTAGAGAAGGAGGCAATGAAACCAACCCTGTTTGCCCTTAAAGGCAACTGTGCGGTTTCCTGTTAAGGCCTTATTTACTATTTTCTGCCTTAGACTTACTGGTAGTCATGAACTTCAGAGGAGGGTCGTCCAGGTAGCTTTTAAGAGATCTCCGTGAATGTTGCAGGGTTACAAGTTGGGAAACAGTATTTTTATATAAGGAGGAAGAGATGTGTTGATTTTGCATTATCAACAAACCTTATCAAACATTATCAAAAAACCTACGAGTTTTCTGTGCTCTCGGGTATAAATTCCCTGTTCCAAAAAGCATTCTCAGTTTTGCCCACCTAGCTTAAGGAAGAAAGACTTAGGAATCTGAGATTGAAAATGAAAGGAGAGACATACCATAAAAATCTGAACACACTTTTATCTGACCTTAAATTTATCAGAATTGACCTATTGGTGCTATTTAGTACTTCTGAGAATAATGCCCTTAGAAAGGAAAGCTCAGACACAGGATAGCAGCAAAATTAAAAGTCTCTTGAGACTTGATGTGAGAATCCAAACCTGGCAGTAACTTGCTGTATGACTGTGTGAGTCAGTCTGCCTTGTCTGTGACTTTCCCAAACTCTCAGGCCAAATTTAAGGAGCTTACAGTGCTAAACTTACTTATCACCTTAGTTGTGGGCCCAAAGGAAGAATTGAAAACCTCCTTTCCCTAAGGACCAGATGGCTTTCTGTTTCCTTCCACAGGTGCACCTGCTCTTTGTCTTCCTGCCAGTGTTTTACTACAGTGAGGATGAGAAGTCTGGACAACAGCCAACTTGGAAGATTCTCATCTCTTGGGCACTGTAGTCAGACCTAGCACCTGAGACAGGAAATGCTGTGGTGGACTTTGGGCCTCTGGGAAAAAACTGCCCAGAGTGTCCTTGTGAAAAAGAGAACCTGTTGGAAAAAAAGAGGCAGGCAGCCTGGAAACTTCCGTAATGCAAATTATCAGCTCAAGACCTGTGGTTCTCTTTAACGGCTCATCAGGAGAGCAATTAACTTGGATAAAAATCACAGTCTGTTGGAGGGGCAATAGTTTACAACCAAATCTGTGTTTCTTATCTGAGCTTTATTTCTGGTTGCTGTGAGATGGGCAGCTTATTCTCTTGAGTCTGTTTGCACTACCCAAAATGGAGATGATAACCCTAGTGATGGGGGTCACAAAGATTTAGGAAAGAGTACTGAAAATGCTTTTGTTACAGACCCTGTTTTTTCCCTCCTGCAGGAACAAAAAGAAATGAGTTAGAGAAGATTCTAGGTATCTTCTAAGAAAGGAAGCCTAGAACTCTAGACCAGAGACAATTAAAGACAAAACAAAACAAAAACTTTAATCCTTTGGTACGCTACTGTTCCTCCCTGTTTTAACCCCAGAAAAGGCCCATCAGCACCACCTGCAGGAGGACTCCAGTAATGCAGCAGTGGGAAAACCGGGCTAGAAAACTCTCAATACAACCTTCAGTCCTTCTGAAACACCTGGTGCGTTTCAAGCATGGGATGCAGCAATGGGGAAAACACAAAAGTCCTGTCCCTGTGGGAACTTACATTCTAGTAGGGAAGACAACGAGATATGTAATCTGGATAACTATGTCAAAGAAAATAAGAAAGTGGAGAGTGGTAGATAGTGCTACTTTTTTTTTTTTTTCTTAGTTTCAGCTTATTTGAGGGACAGATGTGGAGATCTTCCATCTGCTAGTTCACTCCCCAGGTGCATGCAACAGCTGGGGCTGGGCCAGGCTGAAGCCAGAACCCTGGACCTCCGTCCAGGTCTCCCATGTGGTGGCAGAGATCCAGCGACTTGAGCTGCTTGAGATCCACCTGCTGCCTCTCAGGGTACAGATTAGCAGGAAGCTGGGATTGGAAGTGAAACCAGGACTCCAGCCGCACCCTGGATGTGGGTGTGGGCGTCTGTGCCAGATGCCTGCCCCCAGATGGTGCTGCTCTAGATGGGTGGTGTGGGCTGCTGGTGAGGATATGTGATGTAAGACCTGAATGGAGGCCGGCACCATGGCTCACTTGGCTAATCCTCCGCCTGCAGCACCAGCACCCAGGTTTCTAGTCCCGGTTGGGGCACCAGTTCTGTCCCGGTTGCTCCTCTTCCAGGCCAGCTCTCTGCTGTGGCCCAGGAGTGCAGTGGAGGATGGCCCAGGTCCTTGGGCCCTGCACCCGCATGGGAGACCAGGAGGAAGCACCTGGCTCCTGGCTTCAGATCAGCGCAGCACGCCGGCCGTAGCAGCCATTTAGGGGGTGAACCAACGGAAGGAAGACCTTTCTCTGTCTCACTGTCTAACTGCCTGTCAAAAAAAATAAGAAAAAAATTTTTTAAAAACCTGGAGTGAGGAAAGAAGTAGATGAATGCCGAGGGGAAGCATATGGTACAAAGGCCGTCTGGTGGGGCATCCTTGGTATGTTTACAAAACAAGGTTAGAGACCAACGTGGTTGGAACAAGTGGGGAGTAGGAGGTGAGAGGGACTGGGGGCAAGATTTTATGGATCAGTGAAACAACTCTGGAGACAAGGACTCTAAGGGTAAGTTGCTCTGAGGCCAGGAAGACAGGTAATCTTTAAAAAAAAAAAAAAAGATTATTTGAAACATAGAGATACAGATAAAGAGAGGAAGAGACAGGTCTTCCATCCTCTGGTTCACTCCTCAAATGGCTGTAATGGTCAGAGCTGGGCCGTTCCAAAGCCAGGAGCCAGAAGCTTCTTCCAGGCCTTCCACGTGGGTGCAGAGGCCCAAGCACTCAGGCCATCTTCCACTGCTTTCCCAGGCCATAAGCAGAGAGCCGGATGGGAACAGGAGCAGCTGGGACACGAACTAGCACCCATATGGGATGCTGGCATTGCTGGTGGAAGCTTAGCCCACAGCGCCAGCCCCAAGCAGTAGTCTTAAAGCCAGACAGATGCAGTGCTTACAACTTTTCTTTTTAAGAAGATTATTTATTAATTTAAAAGAGAGGAAAAGACAAATCTTCCAAATGCTGGTTCACTCCCCAAATGTCCACACCGGCCAGAGCTGGGCCAGGCCAAAGCCAGGAACCAGGAGCTCCTTCGGGTCTCCCACACGGGTGCAGGGGCCCAAAGACTTGGGCCATCTTCTACTGCTTTCCCAGGCACATTAGTAGGGAGCTGGATCAGAAGTGGAGCAGCTGGGACTCAAACTGACACCCATAAGGGATGGCAGCCTCGCAGGCGGCAGCTTTACCTGCTCTGCTACAACGCCCATCCTGCTTGCAGCTGTCAAATGGGGTGAAATTGGGAGAGGGCGTTTCTGATCTTGCTCAATGAAAAGGAGCTTGAGGGTGTGGTAAGTGGGTATTCACTCTTTTCTCACCTTCAGGTGTGCCTTCTTGCACTGCAGGAAGCTGGCAAGCTAGAAACTCCATGTCTGACTGCTCTGAAAGCAAGGTTCTGACTGTAACTTAAGGTTGGGTTTTGTCGGTTGGATGCGCAGACTGTGGGATGGAGGGAGGGGTTTGTTAGCTTTGACTTTGCTCTTGCAAAGGTGCAGCAGGTTTCTCTTCAGCAGGATTCCAGCACCCACCAACAGCTTTGTGAGTGTTGAAGTTCATCCTGGTCTACAGGTAGAACTTTGATTTGTTCTTGTGGTGGCCCCCTGATCCCTCGTCTCCCTGATGGTGGCAGAGAGGTGCTGGCTCCCACAACAGGCCAATTCTGGAACTCTCCCAGAGGCTCAGACTACAACCCTCTTGCACAGGCTTTCGAACTCCGAATTAGCAACTGAATTGCCTTTTCTACTTAAAAGTGGTAGAAGAGTTACGGTTCCTGCAATTACTAGCCCTGAATGATCGTAGTGTTTGGTCCCCTAAGTGGTTACATGCAACAGGCCCTAAGAGATGAGATTCTTAGATGAGTTATGACTAAGTTAGATTTGAAAGAAATGAGGATCTGGTTGCCATTAGAAAATAGTAACTAGTAGGCAGGGGTTCCTTAGGCCTGTGGTCCTCTGGAATAAAATATCATTGCAGAAAAGACTTTGGGAGATCATCAGCTGCTGTGATAAACTGTCCTAAAAGGAGCAAGAACTTAAATAGGGGGGACTACATCAGAGAGGTTGAAGAAAGAGGACGAAAAGCTGGAGAGTTTAAAATCTCCAACCCAGAGCATGTACAGAGTGCCCCAAAAGAACTGTGTCTGTCGCTTGTAGGCACAAGACTGATACACAGAAAAATCAGATAGAACCTTGCCAGATCAAAAGTTAGGCCAGTCCCGGTATTTGGCACAGCAGTAAAGATGCCGCTCTGGGTGCCTGCAATCCTGTACCGGAGTGCTTGGGTTTAAGTCCCAGCTCCACTTCCAGTTCCAGCTTGCTGCTAATGCACACGCTGGGAGACAGCAGGCCGTCGATGGTTCAAGTACATGGATCATTCATGTGGGAAACAGATTGAATTCCCAGCTCTTTGCTTTGGCCTGGCCCAGCTCCTGTTGTGGGTATTTGATTACTGAATTGGGGAATGGGAAATCTCCCTCTCTTTTGCTCTCTCTCCTTTGTGTGTGTGTCTGCATGTTTGTCTGCCTTTGAAATAAAGGAAAAAAGTTATGCCACTGTTTGAGAAAGGGGGAGTCTGAAATGACAAATGCTGACATTGCGTCGATTTGGGAATGAGTGCTATTGCTTTGAATCCACAGACTCCAGCCTAACCCAGTGGAAACAGACTTTTCCCTCATTGGGAAGACTGGTTCTGTTGCTTGGAGACCCTGGAGCAGTTACCTTGGAAGAGAATGTCAGTACTAATCATGTCCCACTCACTGTGTTAGCAGGAGCCAAATCCCAGCATGCTTGGGCAATCAGGAAGTCTGACTGGAGAGGAGAACTGTAACATTCTGCTAGTTTATATCAGCAGAGACCTGGGGAATGTGTGTGGATTGCATTCTAAAGGAACATGCAGGGGCTGGCGCTATGGCTCGGTGGGCGGGGCCTCTGCATCATCATCAGCACATCAGCACTGGTTCATGTCCCGGCCGCCCCTCTTCCAATCCAGCTCCGCTGTGGCCTGGGACACTGGCGGAGGGTGGCCCAGGTGCTTGGATCCCTGTGCCCGAGTTAGGGGCCTGAGGGGGTCTACTGGCTCTTGGCTTTGAGTTGGCTTGTCTCTGGCCATTGCAGCCATTTGGGGAATAAACTGGTGGATGGAAGACCTTTCTCTCTCTCCTTCTTTCTGTGGCTCTACCTCTCAAATAAATAAATTGAAAATAATAAAGGAATATGCATTTATTTTCATTTGGGTTAAATGTATCACCATGGGCATGCTGGAAATTCTGAACAGTGTATTGGCTTTAGCCTCCAAAACTGGCTCTCAGCTGGTGGGTTGGATGGAACCTTAGACTGAAAAGTAGCCTACTCAGTGAAATTGAGGGGCCAAAAATCCCTTAATCTAGCAACAGAAGGGCCAAAAACATGATGATAGAGAAGTTAATTTATAGAGTTATCATTTGTGTGACCTCCTTCTCCAAAACTGCCCAGAGATGATTCCTTTCCAGGAAAGTACATGAGTAAGTTGAGCTCTTTATTTTTTTTTTAAGATTTATTTTATTTACTTGAAAGAGTTACAGAAAGAGGTAGAGACAGAGAGAAAGGTCTTCCTTCCATTGGTTCACTCCCCAAATGGCCACAGTGGCTCTCAAAACCAGGAGCCAGGAGTTCTGGGTCTCCCACGTGGATGCAGGGGTTCAAGCACTTGCGACCTCCTGTGCTGCCCTCCCAGGTATAGTAACGGGAGCTGGATGGGAAGAGAAGCAGCCAGGACTCGATCTGGCGCCCATGTGGGATGCTGGCATTGCAGGCAGGGGCTTTAACCCACTGCGCCACAGCGGCAGCCCGAGCTCTTTCTCCTGAGAAGTGCAAGCTGTCGCTCCTCAGTGGGGACGATGGGACCCTAGAGTAACAGGCCGAGGGTGGCGCGGAGACCGAGAACTGCATGAACTTCGGGAACCTACTGAGGTTCTCCTTGCTCATGGAACACACAGCAAAACTTCAGGTCTGGCAAAAAAGAGGCCCGCTTCAAGCCACCAAAACAGAGTGTTACGGCTACTCCATTCTCTGAGCTAAGGCCCTTGATAAAGGGATGCTGGGGACTGTGAAGGAAGCATCTAATGATGCCCTTATAGCTGTGTTGTAAATCAACTCGTTCTCCCCAAAGGGCTCTTACGCCGGTTACCTATCCTGTGCTTGGGGAAGTGGAGAGTCCCTGGCCTTTAGGGGTTCCGCAGAGATCGGTGCTGAGTCAGCACAAATCCCAAGGGCCCTAAAAGGCTTTTGTTGTCCATGGGTTAGAGATGCTGGAGGCTGTCATGGACTGTGCCCTTCCCCAAA